TTTCCAAAATTCGACCATTGGTCAATGGTCCGATGCTGAAAGTCCAAAGGTCTATCTGAAGCTCCAACCGGGATGTGAAAGCACTGGAATAAATGTTGTTCTTCTAGAAGCTTGGCAGGTTTTAATGTCTGCGAGTGTACCAAGTGTACCGTCATAAGCTGGAAATGATCATGCACTCCATGACAGACGATTCAGATCTGTCTGTCGTCGGGATCAAATGGCGATGATTATGTCTCGACAGTGGCAGTGGATCTTGAATAGACACTCTTTGACGCCGACTGTCTCTTCGAAAGTGCCACTAAAGTTGTGCTACGCGACAGACTCAAAGTCCACATCTGTCCTGTCACCCAAAAGCAATTGTGGCAATCTGTCTGCACCACAGTCGTGTGTGCGGATGTGATCAAGTCTTGGGGGAAAAGGCATTTCAGCCTAGATTCAGCAAACTCATCTTCATCAACCCACTCCACGCAAGATTCGTGCACTTCGTCAAGACGGTCGGTGCGTTTTGCTCCCAATCGAGCAGGTTTGCTTCAGCCACGGCGTCGAGTAGCCCCAAACTCGGGCTGGCGAGTAACAATCCGCCGTCGTCCATTGGTTGCGATGCCATTGTCAAGTTCCTCCTCAAGCCAAGTGTCTTCGGCACTCAACTTAGTAGAGCATTGCTTCGTTTTCACTCAATCAGCTCTTGTTGACTTTAGAGTTAGTAGAAACCTCCACTGACGCTGCGTGCCTTCCAACCGAAATTGGTCTCGATGCCGACGAGGATTAAGGAAATTGACTAGTGTGCACTCATCATGAATGCTTGTGAATAATCGTCTAAATTTGAGGAGGAACCCTACTCTAATATGAATATATTTGAGTAGCAGTCCTTTTGTTGTGTTTACTTTGACTGACCTCAAATTTGCGACTTGGTTGTGGCGTCAGGACGACCTCGAAGAAGCTACTCTTTAGTGCCTCTCCTCCAGCCTTACGATGACATTGAAGTTGATTTAATCCCGCTTCCGGAAAAGCTATGCCTGTGAGTGTATCTGTCTAGACAAGCATAAATGAGTTTTCTTGACTTGTTAGCTTGAATTTGGTTGTTACGATTATACTTCGATCTGATGATATCCGC